AAAAAAAAAAAAAAAAAAAAAAAAAAAACTAACTCTCTTCAACAAATGATGCTGATAAAACTGAAAAAGCTACCTGCAAAATAATGAAATTAGGCCCATATATGCTCGAGCTGTTAGATCCTCCTGATGTGGAAGGGCTGGCTTAGGGACTCTTCAAGGACAAGACCATAGGAGCTTGGCCTTCAACCTAGAGAATGCTCTGTTATGTAGCCATAGTTCAGGAACACAATGAGAGCCAGTTTTGCCCTGGCAACCTGCCAGTCAATGTGGCAGCTGTATGTGACAGGGTCACAAAAAATGTTAGTGTAAGCATAATTGTTCTGTTGGAAAGCATACATATAAGTGGATTAAAGTGGGCAATGAGGAGAGGGAAGAGTGTGTGTGTGAAAAATATCTACCACTACCAAGTGTGGTGTATATATCAAGTGTCCTAGAACAAGTCTGTAAGATGTGGAAAGCACAAATAAAATTTTTAAGTGTATGCTATTCATCATGCTGAAAATAATATTTCAGTTCTATTCTATGCATGTTTGTAAACTAAACTCTTCTGGCAAACCTCGATGATTTCTAAACACAGGTGACCTTAAATCCTGGGCAATTGAATACAGCCACATTTCAGAAGTGCCACAAATTGCTGCAACCATATTAATCATGTTGATCTGAAACTCAGCTTCATTAATGGTAAATGTTATAATTTTTTTTCAAATCACCAAATTTAAAAATGCATGGAACCCTTGGGTGTTTAGAAAATACTTCATTCATAAGCCTTTATATGATCATGTGGACAGGTTATTTCGCTGTCGTAATAGATGTGTACGTATAATTTCTTTGTCCCAGTGGATTCTCAATGTAATTTTCCAAAACAAAGTGTAATTTGTAATTACAGTTGAAGTGAATAATATCCCAAATGACCGAAACCTCACTTAAATATAGCATTGATGTAGAATAACAATTCCTTTGAATCTATCTCCAGTGTTACAATAAATTTATCACAAGTTTATACTTATTTTTTAAGGATTCAGGAATATTTGATTATTTTATCTGTACCAGACGTTACAGGTTGATTATTTCAAGCAAATATTTTGTAATTGAGCATCTACTTATTGTGTAAGCAGTGCTTGGTGTTTTTCCCACATTGTATATTTTAACACAAGAATCATATGAGGTATGTATTATTATCTCCTTTTTATAGGTAAGGAAACAGAAGATCAGAAAGATTTGTAACCTGCCTGCGATTGCATAGACTGTGAGAGGCAGAACTAAAAACTCTGATCCCAGGTTTGCATGGCTGCAAATCCATGGTGTTTCTGCACGTCACTTTGTCTTCCATGCTGGCAACCATATTCAACTTTGAAAACATTTGTGTCTTCCATGCATTTATTTTCTTTTTTATTATTATTTTCTTTAAAAATATTAAATTCATATCTGGTTTGGGTGTTTACCCAGATAAAAAAGCCAGAATTTAATAATTCAGGCACACAATCTTAGTATTATTCACACTAAAGCATACTGTTGTCATGATTTTCATGTAACTGAGATCGAATGAAATTTGATAGAATGTGTTTGGGCAAGAGCGTGGTTGCTGATATTTATTTATTATGTTTTCTGAATCTTCAAGTAGGATTTCTTGAAGAAAAAGCAAATTATTCTAAAGAATATGCTGGCCTTTAGATCAGAGTCATGGGAAAGAATGAATATAACTTATCTATTCTCCCCTTTCCTAGATCATGTGCTGTATTTTGGAAAAAGGAACCATTATTTTGAAACGTCAATTAATCTTTTTTTCAATATAACTTCCTACCTTTCCTATCTGGCTACTTCTTCTCCTACCTGTTTAAATCCCCAGCCCCATCAAATACTGCCACACTTATTTCTCTATAGTTGCTTTTTAGAACTGGTGAAGCTAAAACTTACCTAGACAGATCCCCAAATAGACAGATCCCATTCACTTTCCATTTAATCCTAGTCCACAATGATACCTAGGTTTTCCTTATTGCTTCACACAATCTCATATGTATGACAAGGTATGGTGTAGGAGATAAGTCTTGGGATATTTTGCAAAGTATCTAGGATGTTTGGCTTTTAACAATAATAAAAATTGTTCGACTTCTTCATCTGGATTGCAGACGTCATCTAGCTCTTATTGTCAATTATTATAACTAAGGATGTGGTTTTTGTACTCTATGGAAAGGAGCAAGTCAGAAAGAAAGAGATGTCAAAGTCAGTTTTTAGGCCCAATTAATTGTATAACCACTGGAAAAGACACATTTGGGATGGGCATGGAAAATTAAGAATTGGCCGTTTTTTTTTGTTGTTGTTTTTTTCTTTTTTTGAGGTGGTAGTTTTGCTCTCTTGCTCAGGCTGGAGTGCAGTGGCACAATCTTGGCTCACTGCATCCTCTGCCGCCCGGGTTCAAGTGATTCTCCTGCCTCAGCCACCCAAGTAGCTGGGATTACAGATGCCCACCACTGCACTTGACTAATTTTGTGTTTTTAGTAGAGATGGGGTTTCGCCATTTTGTCCAGGCTGGTCTCAAACTCCTGACCTCAAATGATCCATCCATCTCAGCCTCCCAAAGTGCTGGGATTACAGGCATGAGCCCTATGTCTGGCCTAGAGTTTACTTTTCTATGAACATTTATTAATATGTTATTAACAGTTTATGTTATTTTAATAAATGTTGTTGTAAACATCCATTTATATATCTCCTGTGCACATGGTGATTAGACTTACTCTAAAGATACAAATAAGGGTGAAATAGCTGGATCCCAAGATAATTGAATCTTCAGTTTTATTTAACGAAATCTGAAAGGAAAATTTGTGTGCACAAAATATTCTATAAGGCAAAGTTACTATATTAAAAATTGAATGATAAGATCATATTTAGGCATATACATTAACCGTGGAGTCATTTCAACCAATTTAATGTCCTCTGGTCTTGTTTTAATAGGCACTGTTAAATGGATAGATGGAGACTGAAAACAATTCAACAGTGACAGAGTTCATTCTTTTGGGATTAACAGACAATCCTATGCTATGTGCTGTTTTCTTCGTGGTTTTTCTAGCAGTTTATATAGTTACCATAGTGGGAAATATTAGCATAATCTTCTTAATCCGAACCAGCCCACAGCTTCACACCCCTATGTACCTTTTTCTCAGCCATTTGGCCTTTGTGGACATTGGGTGTTCCACATCTGTTACACCAATCATGCTCATCAGTTTCTTAAGAGAGAAAACGACTATTCCTATCACCGGCTGTATAGCACAGCTTGGCTCTGATGTCATGTTTGGAACCACAGAGTGCTTCCTGCTGGCCACTATGGCCTATGATCGCTATGTGGCTATCTGCTCTCCCCTACTTTACTCCATCCAAATGTCCTCAATCGTCTGCTTCCTCCTACTGGGAGCCTCCTACTTGGGTGGATGCATGAACACTTTGTCTTTTACAGGCTGTTTGATGAACCTGTCCTTCTGTGGTCCAAATAAAATCAACCACTTTTTCTGTGACCTCTTCCCACTCTTGAAGCTTTCTTGTGGCCATGTTTACATTGCTGAAATATCCCCTGCTATCACCTCTGCATCTGTCCTTATCAGCACGCTATTTACCATAATCGTGTCCTACATCTACATCCTCCACTCCATCCTGAAGATGCACTCTACTGAGGGAAGGAACAAGGCTTTCTCCACCTGCACTTCCCACCTCACTGCAGTCACTTTGTTCTATGGGACCGTTTTGTTTGTTTATGTAATGCCCAAGTCAAGCTATTCAGTGGTTCAGGTCAAAGTGGCATCTGTGATCTACACGGTGATGATTCCTATGCTGAATCCCCTTATCTACAGTCTCAGGAATAAGGAGGTGAAAGAGGCCATGAGAAAACTGTTGGCAAAAACACACTGGTTTTCCTGAATTAAATCAGGTATAATCCAGAAATAACAAAACCAATGATTTGGGAGACATTTGTGCTTAATATTCTATTTATCATTAACTGTATCACTTATATAGTGAAGAACTCACATGAATGTAGAAAGCCAATGCTTCCTTCCATTTACAGAGTTAAATGTCTAATTTATGTGGACATTGCTGCGGTGATTTTTTTTTTTTTTTTTTTGAGACTGAGTCTTGTTCTGTTGCCCAGGCTGGAGTGCAGTGGCATGATCTTATCCCGGTTCACTATAACCTCCTCCTCCTGGGTTCAAGCAATTCTCCGGCCTCAGCCTCCTGAGTAGCTGGGATCACAGGTGTGCACCACCACACCCGGCTAGTTTTTGTATTTTTAGTAGACATGGGGTTTCACCACGTTGGTCTTGAACTCCTGAGCTCAAGCAATCTGCCTACCTTGGCCTCTCAAAGTGTTAGGATTATAGGCATGAGCCACTGCGCCCAGCCTGGAATCAAATTAAACATGGATTTTTCAAGGTAAGAATACCTCAGAAAACAGTTTCAAATAAAATGTCCCCCATTCGCCAATTACAGAGTTCTAACTGAATGAAGACACAAGGAGACATATTTCAATCAAATATCAACTTTTTCTAAATCCCATCTTATAAAACAACATCTGGGAAAGGAATTTCCAATAGATGTGTAATCAGTGGTAATGTTGACAAATCAGGCAGTTCAAGTTACTACTCTGCTATGCTCCATAAATGCTTAAACTTCTGAAAATGGCAATGTGAGTGTCTCAGAAAAGCTTCTATTTATTTTTCTTTTATTTAAGCCAGGGTAAAAATTGTGATTCCTGTATTTGGCCATTAAGAGATACAACCCACATAACATAGAAGAAATTCTGAACAAATCCTAGCTAACTCTTTTTATAAATGAAGTCTTAGCAGATGAGCATTAGAGTTGGACTTTGAAAGCAGACATTTCTTTAGATAGTGAGACTTTCTTTGACCAATAGCTTATAGATAGGAGACATGAAATTATGATCCAGGCAAAAAATATATCTGCCACACATTTTTATAATGTCTCTCAAAAAGGTGTCCATCATCACTGTTTCTTCCACTGCCCTTTTTTGTGACCCAGTTCAATTATGGCAACTGTTTCTAAATTGATTCCCTGCCTCCAGTGCTTCTTCCACAATTTCTGATTAACACTTTAGTTGATATATTTGCATTGTTAGCATAGTAATAATGTCATACAGATCCCAAGACAGTAGGGAGGAGCCATTTTACAATCTGACCTCTCATTCCTGGGTTCTTCACTGACCAGATCAAGGAAATATTTTCTTCTGTCTGGAAGCTATAATGTGCAATTTCTCTGATCCTGTTTCCCTGTTTCCACCTCTTGTATCAACTATGGGCCTATAATCCCCCCAATGCAATAATTACAGGGCTAAAGTTTACACAGATATGGCCCTTTGCAAAGAGAGGTGACTCAAAGGTGTGATTTCAGTCTAAGAACCATCTTAGCAATCATGGTGAGAACACTGAACTCTGGTGGTTGAAGGTTTTCACGGACCGTTTTTGGCAGCCGTTCTTTTCATCTCACCCTCTGCACTTCACTCTTCACCAGGGTACATCCTCAGATCTCTGTTCTTATCCCCGTTCCCCATGATCCGCAAGTGTGACCTCATTTTCTTCCATGAGGTCGGTTTCCCCTCTGTGGTTAACAATATCCATGTCTTCAAATGCAACCTTCCTTGGAGGACCGATAGATTTCATTGGCTTTTTTTCCTAGGACTCTCACACTCAGCGTGCTGCAACCAGATTTATCGTATTTCTCTCAAAACTGTGTCTTCTCCTCTATTTCTTTTCTCAATATGGTCACCTTATAAATGTCACCTCTTTGAGAGGACTAGTACTCCAAAAGACTTGGTGTGGCCCTCACTATGTACCTATCTAAATGGTCAGCCCCCCTCCCTCCTTTTTCTTCTCTCAAAAGAAAGATATATCACATATTAATCTACCCTCATCTAAGTCCTTTTTGTCTAGAGGCTTAAGTGTTTCCCAATTGATTATGCTAAGTTCATGCAGAAATTTGTCCTTTGTTCTTCAACTCTAAGGGGTTCAATTAATTCAGTCACCCAGATGTAGAGGGTATGGCTGCATCTGGCACTGTTACAGTCCTTTTGGGATTTAAATATAAATCCTCTCCCAAAAGGACTGTAGCAGTGCCAGATGCACTTCAGTTAAATCCATCAACTGAAGAATGAAAAAAAGAGAAAGTGTATGTGAGAGCAAAATATTGCCTATAGAAATAAAAGAGTTGATATTAGAGTATGTGGTTTATGTTCATGGACACATAGTTTTTGTGTTCTGAGTCCCAGAATTTGACACTCTTTCTTTCTGTCACTGAAAATATTGTCTCTGGGCAGACACTCAGGTCTTCACAATGAGACTCAGCCTTTACCCAAGAGCTTACAGTATGTCCAAGAGCAGTCAAGAACATTGAGTGAAGGCTTGCTCCCAACAGAAAGAAGGAAGAAGGGCTGGGATGCTGTTTGCAAGTAAACTGTGTTCCTCTCAAATTCATATATTGAATTTTAATCACCCGTATGTCAGAATATGACTTTATTTTGGAATAGGTTTGGTGTAGATACAATTTGTTAAGATGAAGCCATACTGGAGTAAGGTAGGCCCCTAAACCAACATGGCTGATGTGCTTGTTGGAAGGGAAATTTTGGATGTAGGCAACACATTGGAAGGACTCCATGTGAACATAAAGACAGAGATCTGGGTGATGCTTTACAAGCCAAGGAACACCAAAGACCAACAGAAAAACACGAGAGGTGAGGAGAAAGGCCTAGAACAGATTCTCCCTCATAGCTCTCACCAAGGAGAGCCAACGCTGTTGACACCTTGATCTTGGACTTCCAGCCTCCAGAACTATGAGAATAAATTGATGCTTTGTTATGGTAGCTCTAGAAAATGAATACAATTGCATATCTAGTTTTCCCCTAAGAAGTTACCATCAGCTAACTTACTCCTTCCAGGAGAGGAGGGAGTGAAGACTTGGAAAGATGCCAGATGTGTTACACTAGGGGATGCCCCTCTGTGATGGCTAATATTGTGTGTCAACTTTATTGGATTGAAGGATGCAAAGTATTGTTTCTGGGTGTGTCTGTGTGGGTGTTGCCAAAAGAGATTAACATTTGAGTCAGTAGACTGGGAGAGGCAGACCCACTCTCAATCTGGTGGGCACCATCTAATTAGCTGTCGGCACAGCTAGACTAAAGCAGGCAGGAGAACATGGAAGAGCAAACTTGTTCAGTCTTCTGGTCTTCATCTATCTCCCGTGCTGGATGCTTCCTGCCCTCAAACATCAGACTCCAAGTTCTTCAGCTTTTGGACTCTTTGACTTACACCAGTGGTTTGTCAGGGGCTCTTGGGCCTTTGGCCCCAGACTGTAAGCTGTACTGTCGGCTTCCCTACTTTTGAGGGTTTGGGATACAGACAGATCCACCACTGGCTTCATTTCTCCTCAACTTGCAGACGGCCTATTGTAGGATTTTACCTTGTGATCATGTGAAACAATTCTTCTTAATAAACACCCTTTAACATATACATATATTCTATTAGTTCCCTCCTTCTAGAGAACCCTAATACACCCTCTGGAAGAGGGGAAAAGAATATCAGGAATGATCAAAAGTATTTTGCCCAAAGTGAGTCAATAAATAAGGATCAATGATGATGATAGTAACCCTGTTAGAAACAATCGAATTTCTTTCAAAAGATTTTTTAAGGTCCCATTTACTACAGATTATAGATTGCTACTTAAAAAGCAGGAACTTCAACTGGGAGAAATTTTAAATGATCTTGACCTGTTGTGTTGTTAAAAGGTTGATAAATTTTGGGAAAATGTTCCTCTTCTGAAATAGATTGGAACTTATGAGGTCACAGACTTTCTGTGAAACACCTGTAGCATTGTATCAGAGGAGATTGAAGAAAGGGTGCAAAAGGTAACTTCTTAGGGGTGATGAAATCATTGTATTATGATTGGGGGGCAGGTTATACAGGTGTTTGTATCTATCAAAAGTCATCGACCTATATATTTAAGTCATGTGTATATCAATTACAATTCAATAAAGTTTTAAAAATGATTCTATAAGACAGCTATTTCCTTTCCATTTATATCTGAGGCTATAGGCAGTGTTAACAGTAGCATCACCTACCTTCCCATGTAAACCAATGGTATTTCTTACTTGTTTCTCCAAACTGTTGCACAGTTTCATCATCATGCCTTTTGAAAAGTCAAGTATCTTTTTCTTTTCTTCTCCCTTTTTTAAGGGGGAGTATGTCTTTTATCTCACCCTGGAAGCTTTTAACCGTTTCTTTTGTTTTTGACTTTGTGTAGTCTTTTTATGATTTGCATAAGCATGGCTGCTTTTGCACTTATTATGTTTGGAATTTGCAGTTTCTTTAATTTGTAGCTCATGGTTTTTCATCTGTTTGGAGGTTTATCAGTGACTATTTCTTCTACCCCATTGTCCTTATCTTGTCTTCTTGGACATCAATTGCATATATGATGGATGTTTTCACAATTTCCTATATATCTCTTGCACTATTTTAATATGTTTTCTACTGGCCTATCTTTCAGTTACTGATCTTTATTTCTGCTATTTCAATCTAAAATTAAGCCTATCTAGTGAATTCTTTATTTTTCATTTCTAATATTTCAACTTGATTCTTTTGATATTTTTTCTCCCTTCTCTCTTTGTTCTATATGTAGCTTTCTGTTGTGATTCTTCATATCATTCCTCTATTTTTCTTAAAAATTTTTTGCAGTGTCTAAATTTTGTTTATTTGGCCCCATTTTTGGCATAGATTTTTTAATTGAATGATAGGCAACAAAGATGAAAATTTTAAAAGCTCTAGTGAGAGTATCTTCTTCCAAAATGTATTTAATTTTCTTCCAGCAGGAAAAAACAGCTTTGGATTATCTCTTTGAGAAAATTGAAATGTCATGCCCACAGAGGTCATTCACATAGGGAAATAACTTATGTCACTGTGCGCATTTTAACTCCTAGACTTGTATCCTAAGAGAATGGAGGTATTATTTCCAGTGTGGGCTGGGCATTGCACTTTCTTGGGGATGATATACTACTAGCTTGGTCTTATTTCCAGGTAAGGTGTAGCTCTTTAGGAGTATCAAATAAAAGCTTGGAGTATTCTCAGTCCCCTCCATCTTAAA